GAATGAATCGGTGGATGGAAGATCTCTGTCTCTCCTCCTCTCTGTATATCTGACTTTCCAATAAAAATAAAATATTTTTAGAAAAGAGAACCTTATGTTGGGAAAAGTGTTCCAAGGGTGTTACTTGGGTGGTTTTGATAGTTCTGAGACATTGTTGATTTCATTGCACCAGGGATGAGAGAATTTTTCCAAGATCTATTGGCTGACCAAGTCAGCCTTATGCACCTTAGTGCATCCACAGACCCAGGAACATGCTGCCAAGCTTGGTCAGGAGAGTGGTCCAACCTGTTCTGCTCTAGATGAGCTGGCTGTCATGTCCCCCAGGTACCTCTGGGAATGCTGTCCACTAACAAGCATCGGCAACTGAGGAGGCTCATTCCTGATATATCTACTTCAAGGTCGGACCACTTATTTTGTGATTTTTTTCTGTGGCTGGGATTTGAATCCAGTGATTTAGTTGGGGAATCCCCCAAGAAATCTTGCCTGGGGTGACCTCAGACTTGATTCTTATGTGTGCCAGCTAGCGCAGAGTCAGATTCAGTTCGTCACCTGCACTGGCCAATGCACAACCATATGCTGGTGTATGTAGCTGCCTTGTCAGTCCCGTCTCCAGCTCTGTCTCTCATGTGAACTGTGGGTACTGTAGCCTAGTCCAACCCAGCTTGCCACAGCTATGGTCTTCATGCACGCTAGTGGGTGCTGCAGCCTAGTTGGAACAAGCCACAGTAACCACCACTAGGCCTGCCTCAGCCCTGACATGTGCTGCAGCTTAGTCCAGTCCACCCTGTATTACGTCTGGCTCTCATACACAGCCATGGGTGCTGCAGCTTAGCATAACCTGACCTACACCCCCAGACCCAGCCCACATGCATGCCAAGAGGTGCTACTGCCTGGTGCAGTCAAGACCACCCTCATGCCTGGCTCTTGTGTTTACCAGCAGGAGCTGCAACCTATCAGGGGAGTACCCACAGTTCCCCAACAGGTCTGCTCACAGCTTCGGATCTTGTACTTGCTGAAGGATCCTGCAGTCTAGAATGATATGACTCGTACTGAGTTCTGAGTGCTTGCTGTGGGTATGGTGGCCTAGCCAAGTCTGGCCTGCCCCCAGATCCAGACCCTAGCACACCCAGACCTAGCCTGCGTACTGGCTACTGAACAGTGCTAGGCCCTGCCCAGACTGGCCAGTCCCTAGATCTAACTCTTAAACTTACTGGTGGAAGCAGCAGTCTAACAGAAAAGGCCCTGATATTCTCTTACCAGGTCCACTTCCAGCTCTGGGTCTTGAGTGTGCCGGCAGGTGCTGCGGCCAGTCTAGCATTGCCTGCCCGCAATCTTGGCATTTGCTGGTCCAGCCTGGTCCACCCCAACCCTAGCCTTCATGTGAACTTCTGAGTGTTATGGCCCAACTCAGTCTGCCCTGGCTGTCACTACTGCCAGTGCGTGCTGCAAGTTGGTCTAGCCCAACCCTCTGCCAGACCTGGCCCACATACATACTGATAGGTGCTGAAGCCCAGCTTGATGTGGCCTGCCATCACTCCTGGCACTCACTGGTGGGTACTATGACCTGACTAGACCACAACCATTCTAGCTCTTGCTGGTGGGTCCAGGCTGGCCCACTCCCAGTCCTGGCTCTTGCTCCACAGCAGGAATTGTAACCTAGTAGAGGAGTTCCCCAAGTTCCCCTACCAGGTCTGCTCCCTGTACCAGGTCTCATGCATGCTGGTGGTTACAGCAGCCTTGCTTGGCATGGTCTACCCTCAGTCCCAGCCTTTGCATGTGGCAGACAGGTATTGCAGCTTGGCCCAGCCCAGCCTCCACCCAGCTCTGGCTTTTCCATGTGTCAATAAATTTCATGGCCTATCACCTACCCCATCTCATGGAAACCAGCAGGTGCTGCAGTCACACAGAGGTGAGTCCACAGATAACCTACAGAATTGGCCCCTGGATCAGATTCCCTCATATTCTGGTGGGTGCTGTAGCCCAGCCTGATGTAGCCCAACCCTCGCTGCCCCAACACTCACAGGCAAATACTAGCCTAGCTAGGCATGCCCCACAGCTCCAGCTTTTGTGTGGACCAGTGGGCAGTGGCAATGTTATTTGGCCCAACCCAGGTCTCCCTTGTGGATGGGTTCCTTGCCATGACCTGGACTTACTCTCCGGTTTCCCCCCTCTAAACCATCCTGTCTCAGCTCCTTTGCCTACCTGTGAGTCCTTTGGTCTGGCTCGTGGAAGCCCCTAGAAGCCACTCCTCACCTATAAAACATGCCTTAGAAAGTCTCTGCTCCAGTCCTCTCCCCAACATGGAATCTGCATCCCAGTTTCTGCACAGCAGAGCTTGGCATGCCTGAGGGTCAGAGTGGCTTATCCCTGCCTAGGCTCTCCTACTTTGTGATGTGTTGAGAGAGTTCCCCACATATCTTCATATTTTTTTTTTTAGGAAAGTAAAATAGGCCACTATGCTGGCACACTGGTATTGTTAACACAGATTTGGTGTTAACCAGGCCCAGAATGCCTGACAGCTACTGGCTGCTTTTCTTGCAGCAGTGGGAACACTTGCCTAAGTATAAGACAACCTAGGCAGTTGCTCTTAGCTGTGGAAAAAATCCATTTCTTATTGGCAAAAGCCATTCATTCCTTCGTGGACAAATGTTGGGTGTGTGCTATGTGCTGGATCCAACAAAGACTTCACACGTGGGAACACGAATGGTTGGTGAGTCACTGTTTCAGGTGTAGCTGTGTGCACCCAGTGCCTGTAACCACGGCCCTTCCTGAGATACCAGTGATTGACAGGGATGTGGGGGGCAGGGCTGTGCCCCAGGCTCTTGCAGCACCTGAGGTGATCTCCAAGTCTTCTCTGATGCCTGGGTTGTGAGTTCCGTGGCAGCCTTCTCAACTGCAGTGTGCATAGGGGCTGGTGTGGCCCTGGACACAGAGCAGACACCCCAATGGTAGCCAAGGGGGGTGGTCTGTGTGTGGTAGTAGACATTTTCACCACCGTGATCATAGATAAGCTACAGTATAATCAACAACACTTACACATGAAAGTTAAAAGAGACTGTGGACACATGGAATTTGCGAAATGACTGCGGTTGTCAGCAGGGGCTGCCGGTTCAAACCAGTGTAGCCAGGTGGCTGGAACACCAGACGTTTGCTCTCCTGATTTTTACAGTCTGGGAGGCGCCGGCACATCCTGTGGCTGCTGAGGGCACTGTCTTCCGCCTTTGGGTTGTGTCCTCATGTGATCTTTCCTTGATATGTGTGTGTGTGAGAGAGAGAGAGAGAGAGAAAGGAAAAGAGAAAGAGATGTAACAGATCTCTCCATTCTCAACCAGTTAGGACTGTCTTTGGACCTCACTTAACCTGATCACCTAATACAAACTCAACCTCCAAATAGTCATCTGAGGTTTATTTCCACCTGGGGGTTAGGACTCTGTGGACAGAATTCAGTCCCTAGCAATGACCTAACATGATGGCTGCTGCACCCAGGCCTGTATGGCTTTCAGTTCCACGATGACCATGCCACGGTCTCCCTGGATTCTGCCAGGCCTTTGGTTGCTGCCATGCCCCACATGTCTCAGCTGGATACTGGGACTGGGGGAAGGACAGGGACAGCTGGTGTTCCTAGGACAACCCTCTGTGAGTGGTTGGACTCACCTGAGAGAAGTCTTTGTTCTTAGAAATCAAGCTTCCAGGGCAGGTGTTGGCACCTGTACTGGGGATGCCCACATCCCATTGTTGGGGACCTGGGTTGTGTCCTAGCTCTGCTGTCCATTCTGACTTTCTGCTTATGTATAGCATGGGTGACAGCAGGTGGTGATACAAGCAGTTAGGTCTCTGACACCCACGTGGGAGACCCACTTTGAGTCGCTGGCTTCCAGACATTTGAGGAGTGAACCAACGGATGGGAGCGCTCTGTGTGTCTGCCTTGTTCTCTGTTTCGCTGCGTCCCACATAAATTGTGTGCATTAATTGTGCACACTTTCTGCACGAAGGGATCATGGTACCCTCCTGTTTCCTGCAAAAACAGACAATGCTCAAATTCAGACTTAAGAAAGTCATGCTTAGACGTGAAATACTTCTAAAATTTGCTCTTTCCCCTCTTGTTTTCTGAGTGGGGTGGTGGGTCTTTGTATGTCACTGGAATCTGAAGGAAAAGATGCCCTACCTGTATGATGATACAGCACCATGTGTGCTTGTGTGCATGCATCCACATATGTGTGTGTATGTGTGCAGAATTGTTCCTTCAGAAATCAACATGAAGCACCAAGCTTCTCAAAGAGAGGATGCTAGCATACCTGGACTGGAGAGCCGCAGCCTGCAATAGGCAGAGGGCAGCCTCTGCAACAGGTCTGAGCCCTTGGCGGGCTGCAGCTTCCAGAGCCTGCAGGTTTTGCCCATGGATGTTCCCCCTGGGGACCATCTCACTACCACTGTAATCAATTGCTTTAAGAAAAGCCTTGCTTCTCCCAACAAGGAGTGTGTTGCAGTCACTGTCTTTGAGAAGACCTTTTCCACATGGAGCTGCAGGGGGTTTAGAACTGCAAGTAATGACCCACCTGTGCATCTGACGGACACACAGGGAGAATATCACCCTGCTTGTTGACAATGACCTTTTGAAATACGTTCTGTGTACAGCTCCGGTCCTATTAATTATGCCACGAACAAAGGAAGGCTGAATAATGAATGATCACAGGGCAGTGGGAACCACGAAATGTCATGTAAATGTTAAGAAGTAAAAATTACTCTGTGCTTTAGATGTTTTGCTTTAAAAATAGCCCGCGGTGGGAGGGTTAATTTGCAAAAGAGCTGAAAAAGCATTCTGTTGGGCCTGTCTCGGTAGCTGCATATGTCTACTTGTTCTGACTGCAGTTTGAGAGACCTGGGTGTTCCCGGGTTCTGAAGCATTCTCAAAGCAATGCCTCTGGCCTGGCTCTTTTCTCTCTAGAGACGAAATTACTGACAGAGTTTAGGTAAATGTTGTGCCTGTTGATTCCCTCTAGCCGGAAGCAATTCGGGCCCAAAGCCAAGGAGGAGGTGAAGATCATTGAGCACCAAACACAGACTCTCCGGCTGATGCCTCACGTGGCCACGGCGCTGGCCTTGACCTTCGTCAGCAGGTGAGATGCTTCAGGGTTTGCTCCCATAAGATGGGTGTGATAGCTTCATGTAAAGAAGGATTAGGAAGAGGCAGGCACAGGGCTTCATTGTGTTTCTTCTCTCTCTCTCCTTGTCTTAGGTTTCTTTTGTATTTAAAAGGCAGACTCACAGAGAGACAGAGAGAAATATTTTCCATTCGCTGATTCACTCCACACATGGCTGTAATGGCCAGAGCTGGTTCAGGCTGATGCCCCAGAAGCCTGGAACTCAGTCTGGATCTCCCACAAGGGTGCAAAGGTTGAAGCACATGGGCTGTCTTCTGCTGCTTTCTCAGACAAATTGGCAAGGAGCTGAAAGTAGAACAACTGCCACTTGAAGCAGTGCTCATCTGGGATGCCTGTGACACGGCGGCACCTTTCCTTGGGTGCCACAATGCCTGCCCTAGGACTTGATTTCTTAACAGTGAGTTAAAATCTGAAGCCCATGTTAGGAATGAGGTTCGAATCTTGGTTGTATATCTAGAATTTTTAAATGACTCAAACAGTTAAAAAATATTTGTGTCATCCAGTGAAAGTTCCAGATTGACAGTAAAGTTTTCAAAAATTGGTGAAAATGTGTGAGTACTGAAGGCAATAGCAGCAATTATACCATATGTATATGTGGAAAGTCGTATTGTACACTGGACTTTCTTTCTTTTTAAAGATTTACCCATTTTTATTGGAAAGATAGCTTCATGGAGAGATAGAAGGATCTTTCATCCACACGTTTATTCCCAAAGTGACCGCCATGACTGGAGCTGAACCAATCCGAAACCAGGAGCCAGAGCTTCTTCCAAGTCTCCCATGTGGGTGTAGGATCCCAAGGCTTTGGGCTGTCCTTGACTGCTTTCCCAGGTCACAAGCAGGGAGCTGGATGGATGGAAAGTGAAACAGCTGGGACACAAATTCACACCCATATAGGATCTCAGTGCTTGCAGGGGTATGATTAGTCGATTGAGCCATCATGCTGGGCTTTACTGCAGGTTTTCAACCATGCCTCTCAACCATTTCTCTTCAAAGAACTAGGGTGTTATCTGGGCAGTTGTGTGTCATGCTGTCACTCTTGCAACCGAAGGAAGCATGGGGATTTGGCTAAGATCACAGGGCCCAGGCAATGGAACCAAAACTTCGGACTGTTGTCCTAAGTTCTTCCCTCCCTACTTGTACAATTCTGTTCTTGGTGTTGACTGCAACAATTAATTCCTGAGAACCACAGAGCTGGCATATATTTGTGTTTGAAAGTGCACTGACAGGTGAGCAGGTTTGGGTGGTTATACGAACAGAGTTGTAGGAGACACTGCTGAATTGCGGGTCACACAGTCAGTGCAGGGCTTGCTGGGAGCTCTTGGATGTGCCCCCTGCACGTAAGGCTGGGCAACAAAAGGCCAAAGCCAAGGGTGTGCAACCTGAGCTTCAGGTAACAATGCTAAAATCTACTCAAGCCACCTGGGAGATTACATCACTGACACCTAACATTGGTTACTTAAAATATTTTTCAGTGCTTTTTGAGGTTTAATTTGCATGCGGTGAAATGCACAGATTTTCGGGCATAACTCAGTGAATTTTGAGAAACAGACACACTTGTGTAGTTGACATTTTGCTGTGACCTAGATGGGGTGTGTCCTCCCCAGAACATGAGTTTGGATTTGGTCCCCAGCGTAGCAGTGTGGAGAGGTGGAGGGGTCTTTGGCAGTGAGTGAAGACCATGAAGAGCCATCGGTGCCTTTCTGCAGAGTGGCCTCTGAGTCCCATGGGACTGGATTAGTTCCTGGGAGAATGCAGTCTTAAGAAATGAGGCTGTGCCTTGAATGGTGGCTTGTCTGCTTTTCCCTCAGAAGCTGAAAGTGGCAAAAACAGTAGATGCCCAGCTCTTGGACTTCCCAGGACCAAAATAAACATCTCTTCTTTATCCGTTACTCAGTCTCAGGTATTTTGTTGTGGCCACAGAAATCAATTGATACACTCCAACCCAAATGAATGTCTCCATTGCCCTAGAAGCTTCCCTCAAACCAACAGGCATTTGACTCTTACCTCACTTCCACAGCAGAGACAGCTTTCTGATTTGTATTCCTGTTGCTTAGTCTTGTCTATCCTTTTAAAAATTGTTTATTTGAAGGGAGGGGAGAAAGACAGAAACAGAGAGAGAGTGTGAGGGTGCTATCTCTCATCTGTCTGCTGGTTCACAGCAATTAAAGCGCTGGGACAGGCCATTGTAGGAAAGCAGGAACTTGGTTCAGGTGTCCCATGTGGGTAGCAGTGGCCGAGCTGCCTGCACCGTCACCTGTTCCTCCCAGGGTGCACATTAGCAGGAAGGTAGAGTCAGGAGCAAAGCTCCAGCTCTAGTCATCCAGCACAGCATGTGGACATCCCAAGCTATGTCTTGGCTGGGATGTTTTATTTTCTTGAACTTCATATAAATGGAATCCTATTGTATGTAGTTTTTGGTATTTTGTAAAATATTTATTTTAATTATTTGAAAGAGTTACAGAGGGAGGGAGGGAGAGACAGAGAGAGATATTTCATCTGTTGGTTCACTCCTTAAATGGCCACAATGGCTAAGGCTGAGCCAGACTGAAGTTGGGAGGCAAGAATTTCTTCTAAGTCTCCCACGTGAGTGCATGGGTCTGATCACTTGGGCCATCCTCCACTGCTTTCCTAGGCACATGAGCAGGGAGCTGGATCAGAAGCGGAATAACTGGAACTTAAACTTGTACCCATATGAGATGCCAACATTGCAAGTGGCAGCCTAACTCATTATGCCACAACACTGGCCCTGGGTACATTTTTTTTTTTATTTAATTTTGACAATCCTTACAAATTTAATTGGGGTAAAAAAGGTTCAAGGTCTAAAGGGGGATATAGAGGAAGAAGCCCCACCCAGTCTCCCGCCCACCCCAAGTCCCGGGTGTGGGGCGCGCTCCGAGATACTCGATCAAGTGGTTCCAATAGTTCACCATTCATGGGTCGTTGCCAGTCTCGCCACCCCAATCATGATGTGGTCATTGAAGAGTTCATTGATTGACACAGTCCCTTCTAGGGTCTCCATTTGCCCAGTCTCTGCTGCCAACAGATGGCTGAGGTTGTTGCTTGATTTGTCCTGTCTTTCCCTGGTTAGGACTCCGAGTCCGGTGTCTCGAATGGGAAGATCCTCGAAGAAATTCCTGGGTACATTTTCATGTCCAGATTACTTCATTCAGCATAATGTCTTGACATTGATGAGTCTTTCATTTTTATTGCTGAGTAGGAGCATTAAGTAAATAAATCATAATTTCTTCATGTATTCTTCAGGTGATAGGCATTTGAGTTTTTTTCAGGTTTTTAGCTACTATGACTGTGTCACAGAGAATATTCCTGAACAAGACTCTCGTTTCTCTAGGGTGAATACCTAGAGAGGGGAAGTGTATGACTGATTTTAAGAGACACTGCCACCTTTCTGGGAGATTATTCTGTGTTACACTCCCTACAGCGTTGTATGGACGTTTCACTGTTCCACATCCTAATCCTTTTCCATTACTGGTAGGTGTGGAGTAGTATCTGCTGGCAGTTCAAATTCCACAGACCTGGTGGATAATGTTGAACAATGTCTCATGTACATCTTGCTCATTATGTACTTCTTTTGTGAACAGTCTGTTGAAATCCCTTGCAGATTCCTGTAAATTGAGTTATCTTTTAATTATCTATTTAGGTATTATATATTATTTATATATTAAAAGCAGTTATGTATGTACATAGACTAAAAAAAGAATTTTCTAGATACTAAAAGCAAGTTCTTTCAGTATACAGGAAATGTTTTTCTTCCAGTCTCAGTTTTGTCTCTTTGTTTTTTTAAACAGTGTTTTTGGTGAGGAGGAAATGGTGATATTAAATCTGGCTTATTTTATGGCTAGTGAATTCCGTGTCCTCCCTAAGTTATTATTCTAGTTTTAGAGCAACCCTGGAAGCCATGAAGAAGATCTGACCTTAGAGGAATAAAAAAGAACTATATGAGAATAAAATGGGCAGTAGTGAGAAAAAAAAATCAGATAAATGAAATGTACAGAATTGTAAAGGGAAATGAACTATTAAAATCTAACACATATAAATATAAAATCTACAGGAGAGTATATTACCAACTTTAACCCAGCATTGTGGGTAGCAGGTAAAGCTGCTGCCTGTGATGCCAACATAACCTGTGGACACCAGTTACATTCTAGCTACTCTACTACAATCCAGTTACCTCCCAGCTACTCCACTTCCAATCCAGTTACCTCCCAGCTGCTCCACTTCCAATCCAGTTATATCCCAGCTACTCCACTTCCAATCCAGTTCTCTGCTAATGGCCTCGGAAAGGCAGTTGGAAGATGATCCAAGGGGCTTGGGTCCCTATCACCTGCGTGGCAGACTGAGAACAATTCCCTGGCTCCTGTCTTCAGTCAGATTCAGCTCTGGCTATTGGGGCCATTTAGGAGTGAACCAACAGATGGAAAGTCTCTCTCTGTTTCTCCATCTCTCTCTCTTTGTAACCCTGACTTTCAAATAGATATAGCTTTAAAAAAGCACAAATTTCCACAAAGAAAAGCTCAAGTCAAGATGACTTTACTGATGAATTTCTACCATGCATGTGAAGAATTTAATACTAGGCCTTTCAAAAACTCTTGAAAAATGTAGATGCATGGATATTTCCCAACTAATTCTATGAGATAGATATTACGCAGTATCAAATTAAGTAAAAGAATACTGTAGATAACTTCATTTATGAAGGTTGATATAAAAACCCTCAACAAAGAGCTGGTAATGTGAATACAGCAACATAGTGAAAGGATTGCAGACCATGGCCAAGTGAGATTTATTCCAGATGTACAAGGCTGGCTTCATATGCACAAATAAAAAGTCAATCAATGTAACATACCATGTTAATAGAAGAAAAAATTAAATCCTCTAAGATGCAGAGAAAACATTTCACTAACTGCAGCACCTTTTCATGACAAAAACACATGACAAGC